TATCTATCTATCTATCTATCTATCTATCTATCTATCTATCTATCTATTTATTTATTTTGAGACAGGGTTTCTCTGTGTAGCCTTGGCTATCCCAGTACTCACTTTGTAGAACAGGCTGACCTTGAACTCAGAAAGATCCATCTGCCTCTGCCTCCTGAGTGCTGGGATTACAGGCTTGTGCCACCAGACCCGGCTCTTCACTTTTATTTTTGCATTTTCTCTTTGCTAATTAAACTAGCTGCTAGCCATAGGAGAGAATGAATGAAAGGAATTAGAAAAGAATCTGGGCTGGAAGGTGTGGCTTAACAGCAGAGCACTTGATATAGCACCTCAAGAAAAAACATAAATTATATTTGATAATAGTCTAGCAATTAAAAAGTGCAGCTGTTGAGCCGAGTACATGCTTTAATTCCAGGACTCGGGAAGCAGAGGCAAGGGGATCTCTGTGAGTTCAAGGCCAGCCTGGTATACAGAGAAATTCCAGGACAGGCTCCAAAGCTGCATAGAGAAACCCTGCCTTGAAAAAACAAAACAAAACAAAATGCAGCAAGTTGCCTAATATCTACTGTAATAGGGCTCTCAGCCAGGTCCACAACCTCACTTTAAAACCTACAGAAACAATAGATAGATGGTTTGCACTGGAGAAATTAGGAAATTTATACTGGATCACAGGCAGGAGGTAGCCAACCCAGGAAGCAAAGAGGGACAGTAGATTTGAATCCAGGCCAGCTACCTCGGACCTCCAAGTCTATAAACAACAAATGTAAAGATTCAAGTTCAAGTTCAGGTTCAAGTCCAGATTTGACAAATTAATCTACTAGAACAACCCATACCTTATCAAGATACAGAACATTCTGTCTCCCTAAGAATTTTCTCAGGTCCCATGGCCTCTGCTTTAGGCCAGGTTCTCAAGTCTCCCAAGCTGCCCTCAAATTTGTTATATAGCCAAGGATGGATCCTGAACTGACTTCTACCACCAGAACTTAGTTCAGTCTTCTAGGGTTCAGACAGGCAGAACCAAGGTCCATGAGTACAGCAGGAAGCAGCCTGAGGCAGCAGTCACTCACCCTTGTTGCTAAGCTTCACTGCACACAAATGCCACACTTAGCTTCTGGATTTACCTACCGGTGGACATTTGGGCCATTTCCATGTTTTGCTACTAGAGCAAAACTGCTATAGCCACTCTTGCATAAGTTTTGTTTTCTTGTGGCAAGCTAGGCCTGACAGTGGAGTCTCAGTCCTTGAGAGACTGAAGGAATAGGAATAGCTGTCCTGGGCTGCACAATGAGGCCAGGTCTCAAAAGGAGAGTGAGGGGAGCAGAAACCTGTATTATTTTTCTTTTATTTCAAAGAAGATTTTTAAATTATTTTTTACATGTGTGTGCTTTGCCTGCATGTATGCGAGTATGCCATGTGTGTACAATACCTGAAGAGGGCAGAGGGAGGTGATCTCCTGTAAGTAGATGACAGATGGTTGTGAGTCACCATGTGGGTGTTGGGAGCTGAACCCAGGCTTTTAGCCATCAAGTCATCTTTCCAGCCCCTATTCTCTTCATATAGAACTGTCAGAACACAGGTTAGATGTTTTACTTTAAGATATTTTAAAAAAATTTAAAGTTTTTTTATCAGATTTATTTTTATTGTATTTTAAGTTGAGAGAGAGAGAGAGAGAGAGAGAGAGAGAGAGAGAGAGAGAGAGGGTGTGTGTGATTGTGTGAGTGCTGGCAGAAACCAGAGGCATCAGATTCCCTCCCTGGGGCTGGAGCTACAGGTGTTTGTGAGCCTCCTGACATAGGTTCTAGAAACTGAAGTTGGGTCTTCCACAAGAGCAAGAAACTGTTAGACACTGAGCTATCTCTCCAGCCCCTACATTCACATGTGTGTATGTGTGTAAGTGGTAAGTCAGAGACAACTTGTAAGAGTTGGTTCTTTCCTTTTACCACGTGGTTCAGGATTGGCAGCATGACTTTTAAACAGAATGCCAGTTTCCCCAAGTTGTACCACTTTACATACTGACTAGCACTGTTCTGTGAAATCTGGTTGCTTATATCCTACTTATCAAGGTTTCTATTGTGATTAAGTCCCACTAAACCTCTCAGGATGCAGAATTGCTATAACAGGTGAAAACCTGACTAATAAGGTCAGAGGGTAAATAAAATAAATTGCTCACATAAGTATTTTTATCATGTCCCATTTATTCTCCCCATGCTCTCTTTAATGCTCTTTTGATGTTCCTCCTCCATGCTTCTCTTTTGATGTTCCTCCCTGTTCTACACATCCTGCAAGGTTTCCAGTTTATATACCCACACAGACATAGCTAATAACAATGATACCTAGCATCTATTTCTTAGGGCTAACAGGACGGATATAAGACTGACAAGGTAGGCGCCTTATGTCTCAGAAGGAGCCTGACTGTGAAGTTCCCCAGCAGATACTGGGAGGATTAGGATGGAGCTTGGCCCCCAGGCTAAGCATCAGAGTGCTGTATCCACTGGCACCCAGGTGAGAAGGAACTTCTTTCTCTGGGCCTGGTTTAGCAACCAAGCTTTTTTCCTGATACTTTAGAGGTAAAGGATCAGTTAATGTCCTAGACTAAGACGCTGTGTCAAGTAAAAGGTAAGTACAGAATATTAATAGCTTGTTAGGGAAGAGCAAAGGTCAGTACTCTCTTGAGTTGGCAGTTAGAGAATTCAGGGTCACCCAGACTTGTTTATCAGTAAGAGCAGACACACTGTCTCTTCTGTTCAGTGCCTCCTACTCAGGGCTCCTTTCATGTCAGTAAGTCCTGTAGGTAAGCCTAATTGGAGAGGACTAGCTTTATGTAGATTTGACTATGAGAACAAAGGTTTGGCTGAGTGAATGCTTTCAAATCAGTGCCCTGCAATGAGAGCCAGTACAGGAGGAAGCTATCTCAAGGAATGATCTATATACTGCTGGGATATTTTGGAATGAATCCCATTGTGGAAGGGAAAAGAGCCATGGCGTCACAAAATTTTTACAGAATTGACAGTGACTATAAAAAATAAATATTCCCGAAGCTCTACAAATTGGGTTCTCCACCAGATCATACTCTTGAGGCTCTGTCTATAGATCTGTCAGCTGTACTTTTACTGTATAATGCTTGTGGCTCACAGCACTTGTTAACATTTAGTTTTCTTTCTTTTTTTTTAAACTTTATTTAACTCTATTTTATGCACATTGGTATAACGATGTCAGATTCTCTGGAACTGGAGTTACAGACAGCTGCGAGCTGCCATGTAGGTGCTGGGAATTGAACCTGGGTCCTCTGGAAGAACAGTCAGTGCTCTTAACCACTGAACCATCTCGCCAGCCCAACATTTAGTTTTCTTGTTTGTTTTTTAAGACAGTGTCTTATGAAAAGCTGGGCAGTGATGTCACATACTTTTAATCCCAGTACTTGTGGGGCAAAGGCAGGCAGATCTCTATGAGCTTAAGGCCAGCCTAGTCTACAGAGATCCAGGACAGCCAGGACTACACAGAGAAACTCTGTCTCCTTGTGTATCTCAGGCTGCTCTCAACTTGCTCAACTGCTAAAGATGACCTTGAATTTTTAAGGTTCCTCCTGGAGGATACTGGAGGACACCCTCTTTGGCTTATAGCAAGGCAGACTATAGCGAGGCTGGAAAGTCAAACTAAATACAGGGAGAAAGAAGGGGAGAGTCGCGGGAAATGTGAGACAGCCACCCAAGAAACAAGATGCCAGCGGACTAGTAAAAGCCATGGCAACATGGCAATACATAGATTAATAGAAATGGGTTAATTTAAATGTAAGGGCTAGTTAGTAATAAGTCTGAACTGTAGGTCAAACATTCTGTAATTAATATTAAAACTCTGAATGATTATTTAGAAGTGGTTGTGGGACAGGGCAAGACAGAGAAACCTCTGATTGCATGAACACATGCATGTCAGGTGTGGTGATGTAAACCTATAATCCCATCACTCTAGACCAGTGGTTCTCAACCTTCCTGATGGAGCAACCCTTTTAATACAGTTCCTCATATTGTGGGGACCCCAATGATAAAACTGTTTTTGT